CCGAAACGGAAATGCTCTGTCAGGAAGGGGGAATAACGTTGAATCGCACTCCATTTCCCCTGGCCTCTTTCTAAAGGTCGGATATAAGGTAACTGAGAGGGACTCACTTTCCCGATGAAAAAACGTTTTCCTGGCAATATAAACAAATTTTATTCTAACCTACTTGCCCTAAATAAGCTTGTGTGTCAAGGAAAAGCATGGACGGTTCACTTCAAGCATTTTCAGAAACTTGACTAAAGAAACCTTTGAGTTGCAAGAGTACTTTATTTTACCGATAGTTCTGAAATTCCCTTTTTTATTTAACTTAGACCAAAATAAAAGGGTCGTAATCCTATTTAAATTTTTAAGTGCGGATCCGCTTACACCGCCTTACATTCCATCATGAAGACATACGGTGTTGCCGTGTGTTCAAACTCAACAGAAAGTTTGCCCCTCATTAGCTTAAATGGTAGTTGGTATCGATTGCCCAGTCGGTCTAGATATGGAAACATAGATAAACACAGAATGCATAGTTCCAGACTTCTTAACTCTGTCTTTTATGGCTCGACATTTTAATTTGAAACCAAAGATGTAGTTCAAAGAGGCATGCTTGTCCTCCCTATTAAAAATCTGCACAATCAGTGACCAGTGTTGTGCCCTTGATTACTTACTGTTTTAGTAATCTTGGCATGATTTTTGTTATCTTTGAGGAACCAGCTTATGTGCAAATTACATTTGTCCGTAAATTAGCAATTTAACGGTAGAGGAATAGCGGAATAACAGCTAAAGGAAATTACATTTGTTCTCCACTAATGAAAAGGAGGAGGAATGAAGAAGTCGTCTTTGGAAATGGATAGGCTTACTTAACTGTGGATGGCATTGGATGCTAGCTAAAGGACCAAATGCCAGTTTGCCTGTTTTGTTGCTGCTGTCTTACCTTGTACCGAGGCGTTCAGCCCACTACTAAATGCACTTATTACTCCTACATGGTTACTCATTTGTGTTGAACTTACAAAATTTGGGTTTTCCATTCCGTCCGAAGTTATTATGTGACCCTATAGACCTAAAAAGACTAAAAATGTGATGTTTCCAGCGATCAGCAGTCTGGCGTACACAGCCATATTGCAGCGTGACAACGTAGTTAATGGTCACGGAAGAACAAGCGTTGGGGGTAAAACGTTCTGCTGGAGGCGGATCTTACGTCGAATACGCGTTGGCGACACATTCGTAGAAAATCTTAAAAAGCGGTAACGGATAAGTTATATAAAGATAGCTCCTTCAATAAGTAATTCAAGAAGGCTGTACTAACCGCAGTTGGGTGGAAGGCAGCAATAATACTGCTCATGTGTGATCTAAACGCTACCCAATCTTACTAGCATATTCTTAAACCGGATATTTAGACAAAGAAAAACAAGCAACAAATCCCCACATGCTTCCAATGCAGGCATTCAATTATTGGGACATTTTTTTTCATAACGCCAGTGAAAATAAACTTTCCAGTCGTCATTTACGGATGTTCATTTTCATATCATCATTTATAGTTGAGGACCCAAAAGGCTTTCGTCGTAAAAGGTCAGTAAGTTAACCTTCGAAAAATCCATGCGAGATGCTGTCGGTCTTTCACATGTAGAACCTAGTTGTGGCGTTTGTCAACCTTGAGATGGAAGCTGTTATAAGTGCTTGTTACTGTTAAAGTGCGGTCAGCTTATCAGATCACTTTTGGGATCATAACAAATTTTACATTAAGAGTGTACTCTCTCTCTTTCTTTTTCTCATAATCGACTACCGATTGCTCGCCAATGTACGTTTGAATGCATAGGTCCTGGGGCAGACGCGCTAGGATGATCCAGACACCGGGATATCCCCCTAATATTAGTCCAGGCGGCTATGCAAACCGCTGCATAGTTAACCATACGTTAATATCTCTTCATTTCAAGGAACTGCTCGGTCATCTGTCCAGTGCTGTACTATGTCGTAAAGAGATTGGTTAAAGTCCGCATTGAAAAATTCGACTGAAATAATTCTGTTCAATGTTAGGGGGCGCTCACCGATCGTTCATACGGAACTCACTCGTTCCGTTGTGCCTTATGGACTCTCTCTCTCGAGCCCAACCAGCAGCCGCACTGCGGCGCATGATATATAGGCAGAATAGTATTACCGACAAAGACAAGGGAGACTGGAATGGCCATTTCTGGCTTATTAGTCGTCGTCAGCCAGCCATACCCAAGCCCGAAGTGTGGAACACCCGAGCCTCGAACTCGCGACCTGTTGGTTTAGAAGTCAGCGCCTCTACTCACCGGCTAATAAGCCAGAAATGGCCATTCCAGTCTCCCTTGTCTTTGTCGGTAATACTATTCTGCCTATAATTCTGTTCCTTAAATATAATAATTCCATTTCCTTTTCGGATGTGGTTATGCAGCCCCATCTGAAGTAAACACACCCCAGCCGCCTGTAACACAGGACCTGTAGTAATAGAGGTTTTCCAGGTGTGGCCGGGGAACGCACAGGCGACGAGGTCAAGTAGTTGTATACAAAAAAACTACTGGGAATGCGCGGTTGTAATTTTAACGGTTAAGAAATATTTGCGCTAACCCCTAACCCTAACTCCTAACTATAACCACTAACCATAATCCCTAATCTTAACCCTTAATCTCAACCCCAACAGTATTGTGTTCATCAGGTGGGGCTATCAAACCACATCTTACCAATTTCCTTTCGAAATTCGAAATTTCTACTCAACACTTTATTGGCAACCTATGTATTGTGTGATTTTGCTTTGATACATCTGCCTATGGATTTAAGTTCTGAAGAAGTGACAAATGCGAAGTTTCAGTGAATAATCGCCCCGAAAACTGTTGACTCATTTTCAGAGAGCCGTAAATGTGTCCAGGTTTAGTGGTGTGCACACTGGAATTTGGCAGAGGTCAGGTTTCTTCATGGCTCAAGACTTTAAAACCGCATAAAATACGGCACATGGAAGCAACTGAACACACAGGCAATCACCTAGCTGTATAATACAAACAGGGTGTTTTTACTTTATGCTGTTTCACTTCAAACGCCTGTTTCTTCAACACAGTTAATCCCGGCGCAAAACGGATGCAGTCCAGTGTGGCAAGGCACTGCTGATGTGATAGAAGTGATAGCGTTTCCACAGAACTTACGGGGACGAGATAGCCGGCCAGATGTTGCTGAAATTTCGCTGTCTAGCTGCGCGAAACTGGCCGGACTTGATAACCACGGTCGCGGGCACGCGCGAGCAGCTGTCAGGGCGCATCTTCACCGCGGGCGGTCTGTGTTACAAGTTCATGCGCATCCAACTGATTCGAACTCTCGAAACCGACACCTCCGGTGTGGAGGCGTGGGCACTGTGACCTGGCGTCGCTTGCATGGGCGGAAGCATGCCCAGGGTCACAGTCCTCTGGGGGCGGCACTCTTTTTGGATTGAACATGTAGCGTCCTATTAGACTTTTGTTTCCTTCCGTCCACCAGCTTCGCATGAAGTCGGTCTTTAAGTGGGGCAAAGTGTCTGTGTGTGTGAGCATGCTTGTCATCGAGTAGAGCCTGCACTTACTTTGAGCGGGGAGCCTATACAAAGTGTTAGTGAATTATTTTCTTGCATCTGGCATCGCTTGCAGAAGCTAAGCCCCGCCTGTTGAAGCATGCTGAAAGTTCGCCGTTTTGGATCGGTCGCGGGTTTCTACAACCCATCTCCTCCGATTCGGAATCATGTTTCGACCATGGGGACCTCCTCTGTCTTATGGATCGGTCCAATGCCGCGTGGGGCACCGCCGGCGAATGTGCTCGAGTAGACAAAGGAGCGAGAGAGATCTACATTTTTCCATCACTGAGGCACAAACTGCAAAGGATCAATGTCTGATGACTTAGACATGATCAGTTATTCCCGAGGTATGTGATCTTATACTGACTGACACCTATGAATACAACGTATCTTGTGTTTTATTTACGACATCTGATGACCGGTTGACATAGGAGTTCAAAAATTCCAATTAAAATACCTGTTTCATAGTTGGTTGAGTCAGCTTCCCTTCAAAGGGATAACATCATACAGAATTATAGTTAAACTGAATCCCACGGATCTAATGTGATGGACTGTGACTGTCCGACGCCAAAACTATATTTCTCGACTTACCTGCGATAAGAATAATTTCAGACACCTATCGCTAAACAAATTTCTCTGCTAGTGTTTGATGTGACATCTGGACTTTGGACTGGCAACTAGAAACACGGGTATTTGCTCCCAAATTCGAGGCAGCAAGATCAATCCGAAAATACCGACCTTTTCAGAAGCGTAAAATGTATTAGGTTACACAGACGCTTTAAATGTTTTTGAGGACTTCGGAAGTCTGAAGGGCTTCTACCACCACGCTGCTGTAGACTGAGGTGATCTGTAGGAGAGTGTGTGTATGTTTGCAGGCATGCACGTAATAAATTATATGGGAGGACAAAACGAGACTCTAGCCTCAGGTCCGTTCATTAGCTTCGCTTTTTGCGAGTGCAAAGGTATCAGAACTGGCAAATTTAAAGGGCCAGTGATTTGGAGATTCCCCATTCGGAAACCGTGGCGAAGGCAGGAGGGAAGCCAGTGAACTAGACATGACGTCAGACTGCAGACCTGCTGATGGCCGTTTCGGAAGCCACGTGGGTGACAGGTCTTCGCAACATGGTGTTTCCATGCTCAGGTTGAAAAGCTCGCGCGGATCGGGAATTTCTTGGTGGCCTGGACGGAGGATGAGGGTTGCCAGAGTTTTCGATGCCTGAGCAAACCACTCGGAAAGGTATGGTCTGAGGGGGTTATGCTTAAAGTCCACTAGAGGAGGAGGAGGAGGTGGTGGTAGTGGTGGAGGAGGAGTAGGAAGAGAAAAAGGAGATGACAGTGGTAATGGCAGAGACAGTCTTGAGGTCTCTGTGGCTTTTCCGTTGAGCAGGGGCGCGGTGGAAGAGTTAACGGTGCGGGGTTTTGGTATCTCTGCTTTAGGTCTAAAGGGCGTAAATGGCAGATTATTGGGACTACTACTCCGGAGCCATTCCAAGAACAAGTCAGGCCCGTAAGTGAGGCCGAGAGTTTTCAGAGCGGTAGTACTCACGGGCGATGGACATTTAGTTTCTAAAGTCGAATAGTCTAACGGGCGCTTTTGAGGTGACCACTTTTGTTTGTCTCCGGGACTGGTTACCAGGGCTTCAGCGTTGTACGAATTCAGCGCAGAACCTTCTACAGAACCAGGGGGGTCAGTTGGTCTTTTTTCGTTGATCTCAGTTCGGACCGGATCCACTCGGTCGTCTACCTCGTCCGGACTGGTCCATACAGTGTCTCCAGGAGGCGTATTAGGGAAGGGGGAGGACGGGTGGTCTTTGGTTTCTGAGGGGACCGAAGAACAGCCCTCGTTTTCTTCGTCATCCGAGAGTACGATGCGTCTAAAGGGATGGAATAACCAAGCTTGCATATATAGGACAAACCCAACAGTCTAGTATGCACATGAACCGTACATACAAAGGTTTATTTATAAGCACCTAGTTTTTTTGAGATGAGCATGGAGTAATCTAATAATTCATGGGCCTAGAAATGACGACAAAGAAAATCTTCTGTAAGATGTCTATTTGTCTGACTATTCAGATTCTGGCTGGAACGCAACACAGTCGCATACAAGGATGATGGGCACACAAAGGACGCACTTGCTATAGGATGCAGTTGCCATGTCACCACATATCTACAATAATTAGAGCCCCCGCATTTAACTTCGATGGTTGCGATTGGCGTCATTATTGCTTGCTCGTCCATGTCCTAGTCGTTACTTGCTTCGGGGACGGATATTTGTACCCCCACGATCTATCTTCCAAAACAGCGCCTACTTATTTTCCATTAATATGTTAAAAGAAGCATACGGTGTAGATGCGATTTGCTCCTCTTTTAAGTCTTTAAGGATTTCACGATTCCCCTCCCAAGCTGACACATCCGTAAAAGCCTTACTAACTCTGCTTCCCTATTAGGGGTGGTTCTGCGCCATAATTCAGGGGAAAGGTGCACATATACGCTTCCGACCATTAATTGAGGTAACTTTCTGTTGGTTAGTGGCATGATATCGACTCGGCTATTTGGCCTGCTGATATTACCACCGGGGGCGGTGTTCGTCCGCGCCCTCTCTCTGCTCAGCCAGTTTCAGCGTTGAATGCGGAGAGGAATGTTAATGGCTGTTAATTGACTGTGGACCAGAGAGCCACGATTCATGCAACTCGCGGCCCAAACGAGCATCCGCGTTAGCGGAAGTTTTGGCCCCGTCGAACTTGAAGGTGTGACCGGGTCCGCCCGAAAGACTGCGACCTGAGTGTTAGGTTATAGCCGTAACGCTTGGCTGATGATCCCGTTTACCACTCTTCGCAATCGAATCCGCAAGAAAGAACTCAACAGTAAGGGCGAAGAACACGCGTCTATTCCTGAGTTCCTAACAGCAACATCTGATGATAAAGAATAGATACAGCATGTCCAAGGGGGGCCTGCAATTGAGCCATTCAGACCATGCCCATGACCCGTTAGAATGTGGACTGGTCTGCTGAGAGGCTAGACGCCCCTCCAAACCTGTCGGTAGCCGGCGCGATCTCAACATGCCCACGCCGTGTGGGCGGATCGATAGGACATCATGTGCGCGCGTCGATAGAGCGGCATGCGAATGAGTCGGTTAGGCCGGTCTCTCTTAACACTGAGAACTGATGTAGTTTATTCTCACTTTCAATGCAAGTCCGGCTAGTCGCGTTTAGAGCAATTTCCCCGTTCATCCGACGTAGTTGCTTCGCCCTCAGATGAACCAGATCCGGTAAAGGATTCGACGTTACCTGTGTGAACAGTAGATCCCTCTGCCTCATTACGTGGCGCCTGGCCGTTGTCATCGGTTTGTGAACAACTCCAAATCCATGTGGTGTGCTAAGGCGGCTGATAGTCCCCGAGACGTTATAAACATGACACTTTGACCGTCGTGAACGAAGATGTCCACTGTGTGCTGCAAAGCAGGGTGGGAGCAGGAACGCTGATTTGCACGCGTTAGTTTAATGTGATAGTTGGCTTACACAGCATCTACCACACTCTCTCCTCATTCACCGCCTGTACTCCATATTAAAACAGAGTCAAGAAGACTGGAGGCGTGGGCGGACGCAGATGGCTGGCACGTCGAAGACCCGCGCCTAGTCGTACCACACCTGGTTCACATCGTACACCGGCCAGAATTGTACATAAAAAGAGAATAGGGGGCCGGCTCGGATCCCAACGGGCGCGGCATGGGGTTGCACCTTGACGTGTCACGACTCCCCAATGTTGGCATTTATTATGGGTGCGCATTTCCGACAACGTCTGCCACATCCCCAATACATACATACATACAAGGATTGCAATAACTTGGGGTTGGCGTGGCCTCGTTCCCCCTCTTGTTTGCTCATACACCTGTTGTACAGGTCCCACGGGCAGCCATTTGCTCAAAGCACGCGTCAAAGGCATTGAAATTCGTTGACTTTAACTTCTGGTCCACTGCGGTGCGTCTCAATGCACCGGTAAATAGTGCGTCCTTTGTGCGCCCATCAAATGCATCTGCGACCGTTCCTGATGATGGATTTAAGTAAAGATCTAAAACGCCAGGCGAAAAGGCGTCTTTTCTTGCGATCGCACCTCATTCTTTTAAACGGCTTCCTAGAACTCGCCCCTTCACTTCTAATGAAACACTTTTTTGTGACTAAAGCATGAGTTTGTCAGCAACAGTAGAGACTGATTTATTCAGTTAACCTACTCGACATCCTTGCTATCAAACTATTTTGGACGATATCCATACTCAACTTCAAGATCTATCAGCCCAACATGTGCTGCGCATAAACGGATCTGGGAACTTACACGATGTAAAGTATCCGCCAGATATCATGTTAAAATATTCATATGGTAAAAATGTCCGCGCGTAACCTATAAGTTCGCGGATTCGATATGATGCAGCAAACTCGGCTTATAATACGATTTTTGAGTATTTCTTTTCAAAATTCTTACAATACTAAATCACTACAGGGAGGTTTTTTCATTAAATGGTCCACCCACTAAGTCAAGGCCTCGTGTCCACACCAGTTTTGGAAAGGGGAACGCAGATATTCTAAAAGTATAATACTCAGTATCATCTCCTACATTCAAAAACGTCTTGTTAGTTTCAGTAGTTTTCTGATGTGCTCTAGGCCCATTCTTTGGTCAAATAAAAGGGTTTCGTATGTCGTGTGGAGATACGGTTCGTCTAGAATGCATTCAGTATTTAGCCCGCTCTACCTAAGAGCCTTCCTTCCTATTAATTCTACTTCTTTTTCATATACTTCTTTGAATATTCATTTTCACAGAGCTGTTCTTGACTGCCACTTTGATGTCCAACAAAACTGAAAGGCCTTCTTCAGATGCCTTAGATTTAATTGCACACCAGATGGTAATCCTGCTTCAGTGTACGCATAGACAACAGACCAACCGCAATAGAATGTGTTATATCGTATCAGGGTCGAACTTGTCGCACCTGCGATCAGTCTAAGACCGATTTGCACTACACAGTTTTAACGGTGTCATGATTGCGTACCGTGCCAAAGCTGTTTTCGACCGCAATTTTAGCACAAGATTCCTTTATTTCGGACTGCTGAGATCAGAAATGCGATACTATGGGCACAAAATACTCCATTCAACAAATTGCATTCGTTTTCAAAGGCATACCCGGCGATTACTTTCAAGACTTGCACTCGTATAAGTTATAGATCGGCTGAATCAATTCCCTTCGACTGATTTAAATTGTATTGTGGGCCAGAGCTTCGCGAAAAGAGGATCAGAATCTGTAAGCCACTTCTGGATGCGTTACAGTCCCGAAAAGGCTAGCTGCCACCAATGAGCCTTCGGCATGTAATGCGATCGGTAATCGCGGTTTGACAATACCAACTATGGTAGAGGGACGCATACAGCTCGCGTTACGGCTAATGAGCCAGAAATGGCCATTTCAGTCTCCCTTGTCTTTGTCGGTAGTATCATTCTGCCAACTATGTTTTTGGCCGTAACAAACATTCTCTGGCAGGGCCTCTTGTGCGCATCCAACTGGATACTGCAAGATATCACTCCCACTCACACGAAGTGACGGGGTGGAAAACGCGCAATTTTCTCAAAACTGCAGTTCGTTTTCCCAAGCGGGATTGCTTTTTGTCGGGAAAATCGGGCGGAGTCTGAATTATAAGTGTGAGGAGAACGCCTTCGTTTTGGCCATCAACATTACCAGTTTCTCAATCACATAATATAATTCCAATTTCGTCAGACGGGAACCTCATGTTCATCGACCATTTTGCCGACTTTTTCCAATGGATTTTTGGTGTTGATTACGCCGGGAGGATTATGATCCGAAAAGAAAGCAGGAGGTACAACAGGGGTTTCATGCACTGAGGTCAAAGACGCTGTCTTCAGAGACCCCGGAAGGCTTGTCATAAGGAGTCAAACATACTTATAAATCTCGTCTGTTTTTGAAAGCGTTTCGAGCACAATGGAAAAACTCCGGCGTTGCCTTCTGTGGTCGACTGTTTTAATATGCGGTTATTCATTTTGAAAAATCCATTTTGAATTCTATATCGTTCTGGAGGATTTTTTGAAAATCACGTCTAGGTAATGATAGGAAGGCCTTGTTCATCGGATGAAATTTACCTTCGAAGACCGGTTTTTAGCACATGGAGTCAAATCCAATCGCCGTCAGAATATACCGCAATATTTGGAGCAAGGCCACCTGCATTAGTGGAGAGGGCCGGGGCTCATAAGAGAAATCCTCGCGGAAATTGCACCTGTCGTTCCGGTGGGGAATGAAAGGCTGCCTTAAGATCGTGTTTTCGTCTTTTAGCCAGCGTTTCTACCCAGCTGTGGACAGACAGTCAGACATATGTACTGAAGACAAATTTCCTCTTTCTTCGGTTGTTTATAGTCTATCCGAGGACCTTCATCCTTGTCCAAATGAAGTATTGGCCAGGAAGTGTCTCCAAAGGGAAGTCGATAATGCACAGTTAAGGTCAGCTTTCTACTCATTTATTCTTGGACGCTGGATAACATTTACGATAAGTGTATTTTGTGAGAAGGACAAACAGTCGCCTAGTAAAGGCGTTCCCATTTAGGAAGAGCACAACATCCAAAGAAATGCGACCACAGTGTGCGATTCCATAAAGGGCACATTTAATCGTCCAGCGGCAGCTAAACCACCCTCTGACCTTTTTCGTACTGCAGTTACCGGGCCAGCCATTCGCGGGTGGTATTAAAGAGACTTCTTAGCCAACTGACGGGGTTGTTTTCACGGTCTGCGGTGGAGATAGGTGATCTCGCCGAAACTCATGACATTGGTGATCGTAGGATTAAGGTCTCCGTATCAAGAGGCCCAGCGAAGCTAATGTGTGCCACTTTCCGCCGGAAGCTTTTCGACAGACTGCGTTCGACTAGTCAAGTCATTACAACCATGAAGGGGGACTACAGCACGTTCTTGGCCGACAGAAATTTCTTTCTCTCAATAACCTGTTGGACTGCTTGCTGGTGACATTCCAATGAGGGATAAATAAACCATCTCTTTGGCATGTACACGCGGTTGTCCATATGTGCACAAACTTACCGGTCAGATGATAAGTCACCTCTGCCACAGCTCATTGTTTCGCCAAACATGTTCAACGCACATTTACTAGCCTGGAGACAGTCACCTTAGACAGTGGTGAAAAAGGCTACCTAAGTCCTCCAAGATGACTCTTTATGTTCATCATAGTCACCAGTAGACCGCCAAGATATTGCCATTTTGCTGAACGGGGGGTTCTGTCGTTTGTTGAATTATAATTTGGATTAATTTTGTCCGTTTCATGGCAGTCGAGGCATTTCAAGCAGTTTTCTGGACATTATCTAATCGGATACAAGGAATGGGAATGGGTCTACAATAAGGTAGACACGGTCTTTGCATTTGCGGACGGAGCCATTTGCCAATCGCCGGTGCATGTAACAGTTACAAGCAGTAAGGAGGCAGTAAAAAGGCACTCGTGAAATCGGCTGTCACCAATAAATGCCTCTTTATATATACCTATTTTGAATTTATACTGGGGAAATGCTTCAGGTAGGGCTTTTGTTGGAAATCTAGCGTTCTTGGGCTATAAAACATGGACGACTGTCTGTCATCATTGAATTCCTGTGGACTGATTGAGGATACGACAAATGTCAGCCAATAAAAGCTAAGCACCTGTTCACCTCCCCTTGGCAACCGTATTGCGAACGGCTGGAAAGGAATTTTCTGGTGTTGTGGAAGGAAAAATATAACTTTTTAAAGTCGGAAACCGATTTTTTTCATGAATCCTGAGATATTCGACAGGCTCCTTGAGGCCTTAAGAACTGTGCTGCTTAGGGGTCTTTCCGAATCATTTTGGGGCAGTCAGTACATCAGCACTTTCCAAGCAAAAAGCTAAATAAACTTGGCGGCCAGTTTGTTTGTCCATCTGGCAAGACGTAGGTCATATAATGATATGTCACTGTGATTATAGCTGTTTCGATGAGGCATGAGAGCGAATCCTAAGACATAAGTGGGTCCCCGTGCAAACATCCAGTTAAGCTCTCTTTCCAGGTACAAGAGAACGTTGATGAACGTGGGAACTACAAAGGAAATAATTCAAACTGACTGTTCTCCTTTTTTAACTGGTGCCATCGATACCAGCATGCTGGTCTCGACCTGTTCACACTGCGGCATCACGTTGTCCGATTTGCCTGTCAACGCCAAACAACTGTTACGCCGGTTAGTGTTGCCATGGCGGCAGCGGAAGGCGCGAATCGACCCACACCACTGCACATATGGTTTGAACCCATTTTGTTTCCCGTGAGGGCGGGGACTTCGAGAAGGTAATTTGATACCACATTCAAAACCTCCCCCCCTCCCATCTGGAAATGGTATAGACGAAACCGATATTCCACCATTATGCTTCGATAGCAGGCGAACTACACAAACCTGCGGGGATCGAGTGGTGTCCATGGGCGTGTTTACCTCCTGACCGAGTATTGTTGGTCCCCTTCTTGGGTAATAATAAACGCAAGGAGCTCGATATTGCTACTTGGCACCCCAAATCTCTCGCATTGAGAAGTTTTTAGCAGAAAATTTCGCCGTGATAGACGGAAGAGCAATTACATAATGCTGTTTTTAAGAAAGGTAATGGCGACCTCCTGCACTGAAAGGACATGAACGGAGTTATGGCTTGTAGAAATTCCGATCAACTACTGGCATACTACATAATTATGCAAACTGAATCCTGGTGAAGTATTGCTCTTTTCCAGATGGACTCAAGTGCAAATGCAGTAATCTAGGGTATCACTTTTAAGATCTTGACTAATGTGGAATTATTTATTGTTCAGTTGAGCATCGGGACTAAATGACCTTTACTAAATCATGTGAGGATCATTCTGAAAAAAAACTGCCCTGGTTCTAGTATCGTCGTACCTAGGACCTAGATAAAAAAGACTTAGCATCTTGACCACCAGTGGTTTCGCAGCATACGGAGCATCCATCTTCTATTTTCTTGGCCGGGAGGTCGAGACGGTTGACTACTTCATCCACTTCCTTATCTCTATAGTATTAACCCTGTTGCACCCAGAACTTATCCAGCATATGAGACTAGCTTCAAAGTTGCCCTACCTTATAGTTTCGCGAAATGTCATCTGCCCATTGTTGACCCGTAGGACTGAGAAGCTGTTCTTGCCTCGGCATTTCATGTCAGTCATAGGAGATAGGAGATCATTTTCATACAGGAGTCAGTCTCCGCAAACCGCTTTCTTGCCTTAGCATGAGGAGTCGACTTTTCTTCCCTAAGTCGGGCGTCGAAGCTCTGCAAGTCTTACCATTATCTATTAGATGCGACTCTTCACCATCGCTAATCTTATTGGGGTCCGTTTCTGGAAACCCCGATTCTTCCCTCGATGTTGTCCACTTTGCATCTTCCATCAGAAGCACTTATCAGCATCCTTTAATCTTCTGAATTTGCAAGCTTAAGGAGCAAGCTTTTGTCGAAGGGTTTGCAAACTTTCAATCGTGCCACAGATATGCCCAGCCTCCAGAAGACGTGGAGGATGCGATAGTGTTCGACAGAAAAAGGGGAACTAAACCGTGTTAATTAATCACATTGACTATGGGGATTCAAGCCCGGTTTCCCTGGAATTGCACGCTGGCCTAACATAGCAGTACATGCACCTGGATTTCTCATTGTATGTGTCAAGTGAGTTTTCCTACAACTTGTGCTGCTGTTTTCTCAGATAATTATGGACAAGAAAATCTCTGATCGGCCTTCAGAAATGAAGACACATTTTGCGGTGACAGACATTCATTCAGTATGTCACGGATGATAGAGAGAGGCTAACTTATCACCTGCTAGTCCGGAGTTGGTATGAAGTGTGTCTCAAGTCGTTGTTTACCCCCGGTAATTAAGAGGTAATCATTTGGACACAAAAATAAAGGCCGGAAAAATCAGCTACAAAGTATCCACATAAAATAATTTTAGGGAGTAATATGTGAAAGCAGGGGAATATATCGTGAGAAGGGAGGACATGGAGGATTCAATGCATTGAAGAGGATAACGCATAACCGTTAAGGATTAAACTCAGTACCGTTTATCCACGAATTTTGCCGTTTTTCAATTTTTGTTTCGGTTGAAAGACTGTACCTGAGATCCCTTTATGGGCAAACTGAAAAGCTCTTACCGAGCTCTAATCTGGACGGGAAGAGGGAAATTTTATGGGGTTCTAGGATAGCTGACGTTGCTTGGGTACAACTGTTTGCTACGCAGATTAAAAGTGAGAATGACAGTCCTTAAATCTCTAAATTTCTTTTGAACGGCAACGCCAGTCATTCTTTACTATCGGAACAGACGAGCTACACATCTTTTGTGTCAATTTATCTCTTATAGTCAAACAACGACGATCAGCAAATATTTAACGATTTAACTGGATTACTTTGCTTCCATCCTGGGTTTCGGCCGGTTACTATTTCTGACCTTCTTTACGCGAAAATGCTATTCCTGCAGATCAAAGTGGAAGAAAGGGACTGGCGCAACTTACCGATTCTTTGAGGCAGCCGCACGATCCCTCTGTCGTCTGTTTTTAAACCAGTTGCCGACCTGCGTTGGTGTCAGACCCGTCGCAATGGCAAGCTCGCGTTTCTTCAATGGGTTCGGATAAGGGTCCTGTAGGTACCATTCTCTCAGCAGACTTCTAGTTCTCTCCTTGAAGCAATGAGTCTTTTGTTCGCCGTCCCAGATGGTTCTCGGCAGGGGAAACTTCTTGCGAACACGATATTTGTCCACAGGCCCGAGGGAACGACCGCGCAACCGTTCCGCCTCCTGATAATGGGCCTCCAGCCACAAGGCCTGCAACTTGGGATGACTAACTTTGGAGAATGTATGTTTTTCTAGGATGGAGTAGAGCTCTCGAAAGTTACGTGAGTGAAAAGCGACCAGTGCTCTCGCGCGCAAAATGTCTTCGTTTCGATTAAGCACATCCCATAAGTCCATTCTTTTAGGCAGGGACCACATGAACTGACACAGACGTTCGACATCTCCATCATCTTCCAAATTTTGACAAATTCGAGTGATTTCTTGTGGCGTCAAACAGTCAGCGCCAGTTGATGAAGAGTCAGTACTTAATTCGGGTCGATGAAAAAGGTACGAGTGCTCGGTTGATGGTGAGGTTTGGGATGAGCTTTTGTCCTCGGGATTAAAAGTGGGCTCCTTTACTGTTCGTCTTAAATTTTCCGGAAAAGACGCACCTGTGGCAACGTTGGAAGCGGGGGAGAAACTGAGGACTTCGGGGCCAGGGAAGAGATTGCCGAAGAAATCGCTGGGGGATGGTATATAGCCGCACTGAAATGACCTGTTAAAAGCAGCTCTAGTTCTCATAAAAGCAGTCAGCATGCTGTGTTGGGCCACAAGGAAGTCGGTGTTCAGTCCGGACGAGTCAGTGTTCAGGGGTCTCCTTTGTCCATCCTGCTTCGCAGTCAGCGTCTGCGATGGGGGCGACGAGTCGATCAAACTCAAGGTGGAGAAGGAGCTAGAGGACATCGGCACGGTGCCAACATCACCCTTGTCTTGCATGCTTTCGCCTTTGGCGCCGAGTGATGGGTGTCCGACTGACCAACTGATCAGGATGGGATCAGCGCCACTCCTGCGGGATGGTGCAGCTTTAGCCACTCGCGCTCTCAGCACAGGCAAGAACGGGTGCAATTTGTCCCTTCCCTAGGCAGCCAATCAGAAACTCGCAATGGATACAGTGCGCGCGGAAGAAATGACAACGGGATGACACGCGCTGCCCACACGCGCGAAGTTCGCCCCCTACCCCCCTACTCCCGGACCGCGTCCCTCTAACCGCCTCACCCCCTATCACGAACAGGTTGGGGAAGGGACTGTGAAACGGTCTAATGTTTTACGCACATGGTAGCAGAGTAACATCTGTCAGACGGACACTTCCATCCCTCCAGGCGCTGATTCAATAGCCCAAATCTGATTGGCTGGCACCGCGCTCTGTTGTTACTGAGGCGATCAGAGGTGGCTCCTGGACGGCAGTCTGTCTCTTCTCTCCTTTTACTAGTTCCATTTCCGGGTACTAAACACGTCTGACCAACGAGCTCAAAACTGCAGATGCATAGCGGATGTGGGAAGCTTTTGTCTGCAAGTGGTTTCAGTAGTTTGGCTTGCACCAACTTAGAACCAACTTGGCAGATATTTGGACAGAGACTTGGGAGGGACAGTCTTAAAGAAAGGCTGTTTAGACTGTTCAGAGTTGTGGAAAAGTGTGTTTTAATCAAGAAAATTACAAGCCGATCCAGTATCATTATATTCATGGCCGCTGGACATAATCGCTTCGGAAGATTAGCCTCGGTGAGCTACAACTGGGTGATGAGTATGTGGACGTCGTTTTACCGGCCACAGAAGTAAAGTCAAAAGGAGTTGGAATGTGGAGATACGAATTTGCTAAATGTTACACGGAGTTGGGATTTGCCGACCTATCCTGATTGCTGTACGAAAATGGAACATTGAATTTTTCCTTAGCAGGTGGCCAAGTGTTGATCAGGCAAAAGTGCCGCTGTCTGGCCTCTGGCTGACTGAAATGGTCAGAACTGGCCTTCCAGTCCTCAAACCGGTAAGAATCGAGGTTTAAAACACGGACCAATTGGTCATTGCTGTGGAGACGCTACTACTTTATCCATGGCAATGCGTCACGTTTCTCAGCCAAGTATTGCTTATATGAACGGCTTTGAGAGTCCTGGCATCACACCCTAAGTGGAAGCTTCAATTCCGTACTGCAATAAGACTGCGTCGGACGATGCACATTACCTCTTGTTCGGCGGCAAGCGCAAATGTTCCATATAAATATGCGCGCTCTATTTGACAGGTTTTGTCAAAATGTAGCAGTCGGAAACTAGTGTGTGTATCCACTCTGACCTATGACGCAAGGCCATCTGTAATACGGGAACTGCAGTAGCTTGGGCCGTTTAGGAGAAGAAACGTGGTGTTCTCGAATATATAGGAAGGAAAAATCATATTTGCGCTGCATGCATGTTTTAATGAACTGTAGGGATAATTTGTTGGGAAATAGTTGAGGGGGATGGTAGAGGACGCTCACCGATCGTTCGTACGGAACTCACTCATCCCATTATGCCTTACGGTTCTCTCTCGGGCCCAGCCAGCAGCCGTACAGCGGCGCCTAATATAGGCAGAATGTTATTACAGACAAAGACAAGGGAAATTGGGATGGCCATTTCTGGCTTATTAGCCGTCATCAGCCGACAAAGTCAAGGGTGACGGTGAGCGTCGCTCAACCATTGTGTAGTCCCGATCGCAAACGGCAGAAGAACGAGCCCGTGGCCCAGTGGTTAGAGGCGTGGACTTCTACCTGACAGCTCGCGAGATCGAGCCTCAGGTGTTCCACTCTTCGGGGTTGGGTATGACTGGCTGACGACGGCTACTAAGCCAGAAATGACCAATCCAGTCTCCCTTGTCTTTGCTGGTAATAACATTCTACCTAATTTCAGGAGGAGTACACCTATACATTCCCTACCAATACTGTATCACGGTGACCAAACAGCGCGAAAGACACGGACAAAACTCCTGAGATGACAAGTTTGTATGCAGGTCCTTAGACCCTGCTTTGTTTCGGTGATTCATTACTTAAGTCTAAGGCATATTCTGGGGTGGGAATACCACAGCTTCCAGGCTGATACAATACTTCAGGAGTATACTCTCTGGTTAGAGGATAATAATCTCGTCGTGGACGCACAACTGTCACATATGCAAAAGCACAGAATGCTGCTTTTTCAGTCGCGGCAGTTGCATAATAAAACTTCGAGGAGGTCGATGAGTACCACTTTTTTACGAACGCGTTTCGGAAGTTTTCCGCTGCACTACCGTTGTCCCGCATACTCAGTCAGACTCTAGAATATGACGCACAGATGCGCTGGCCTTGATAACTGTGAATTAAGGGCCCTTTGCCCACCAGCTCCTTTGAGAAAAAAAACTTGAAGTTGGATCAGACAGCAACCCAGGCCTTGTTTTTGTTTCGCCACTTTCAACGAGGGCTGGAGTGACTCAGTTCATGGTGAAAGGGGGTCCGACTGCCCCCACAGCCGACAGTAGCGACTTGTGAATCAGACAAACTGCGCCATGTAATGAGAACTGCGTACAGAAGTCTCCAGTCTCTGTGGATGGGTGGCCAAAATCCCTACCCGTAACGTCAGACCCAAAATCAGGCTCTCACAGTGCAAGCCCTTTCTTTTTGATCGTCAGATGTATTGTAGTACTTGGTGCATGTTTACCTCGACATAGTTGTAAAGAGTAAAGGCAAGTTTTGTTTATCTGAAACATGTTACTCTTATTTATGCAGGTATCGTTGGCTCTGGGAGATCCTGCATACACGTTTTCTAATATTTTTCCGACAAACAAACTTTACTTCCGTTTAAAATTTTTCGTTATTTCTAGAATTCTCAGGCACGCAGCACATAGGAAGTTACTTGGGGATTGGACGAATCTCTTGTTGAAAACAACTGTGACAGAGATGTTCCTGGTCAATCTTTATGAAGGGAATAAAAAGCATTGCTTGAGCCTACCGGAAGGAATGTCGATGTAAGCCGATTACCGACAAACTTCGATAGTTACATTTTCATTAGAATATTTATAGCTTAGTCACCAAGGCCGTTGTAATTTTATTCGTTCATTTAAAACGGCATCCATAAACTTGAGCGGCGCAAGTAACCCAGGCCAAGTGCTTATTTAAGGCTCTATGATGTTTAAGAGAATGCATTCATTTTTGAACTAATTGTTCTTCCTGGTGCAACATGAAACTAAAAGTTACTGTCAGTAGGCCGCTGGAAATTTATTGTAATTTTTAATTTTCATGCAATTTCTTAAGACTCTAGTTCCAGTAGCCAGCTCTGAAGTGGGATATTTTTTTAAAGATTATGGGACATGTCAAGTGCTCCACGTCTTATCGATGCTCGTTCCTGTCTTCAAAGCATGAAAAGTTCCCTGAGCAATCTTGGCGAAAAATGACTCAATCTACAACAGATGGGTTCTTCAGCCTTTTACTTTCCTCTGAAGTTAATGCGTTAACTTGGAGCAAATCCTTCAGGATGAAGTTGTTCAGACTCACTCCAAATTTTGCTGTGAATACTCCTGCAGAAATGTGTCATCCTCAGTGAGATGATCACGTAATCTTCACAAATTGCCTGCAGACAGTGAGTAGTATACAAATATTGCACGATTCACCAAACTGCTAGCACCGGTACTGGCTTATAGCTCAAGTACATATTTCGCCCATGTTCTGCCGCTACATAACGCAGGTGCAAGGGACCTTGAGAGTCAGAAAGAGAGGAATACATACTAAGGTGCTCGTGTGCTAGACCTGTCCGTAGCAGTTCGGAGAGAATATCCTGCGTTAAGTATGGGGGACACCTGTTTGAGTCAAATCGACAACATTTGTTCCTGATCGTTATTTCAGCAGCCGCTATGTTAGACAGAGGCAAGTTTTTAATCATCCCTTGAATATCCCTGTCCCCAAAGCCCTTGTGACAGTTTGCCTAAGAACACCATTGGCACACACCTGAACGATGAGAGAACCCAAAATTAAAGGTATGTAAATCGGGACCCTAAGACTAAAAATGGGTAGGGGTGGAGTTTAATTTGATGAGAAGTCAACAGTCGGTGACTTAAGTGTACAATTAACCAGTCTTCTCATGGTAACACTCCGACGCCAAGGCAAGTTCACGATTACCGAAAATGAACATGAATGTCACCGACCACAAATCTAAACAGTCCGTCACAAATGCCACACACACAAGTGGATCTCTAAAGCCACACGTAGTTTAGGGCATCAAATCATACACAATTGACGGCTCCACATTATGGAGCAGCTGCAGTCGGACCCTCTGTCCAGAGTAGACTGAGTTTTGTCGTCAGTTGACGATCTTCCTAGCCATGATGTTTGACGCGTCAGGAGCGATTCAAGGCGTTCTTCGGTGCCTGTAGTGGGGCACTGAAGTGCCGGGTTCGAAACCGACCGACCTCAGTTTTTTCTTCCATACACATGTGATCTGTTCAAGCCGACCGTGGGTGAGAATTTGCATAGCAACTGCCTTGACTTGCAATCGCTGTCTGATACGTGCCGCACTAGGGTGTGGATTTCACGGAAGTGAGGAATGCCAGCAAGGTGACGTAAAGAAGGAGGCAGTGAGGGCCTGCACTCGTTCGAAAGGAGGTACGAGCTGTCCCATCCGCCGAAGGCTTTGCAAGCTACAACTTTAATCACATCGTACTAGCTTAGATACGTCGAATTTTTCATAATGATACACTGCTCTCCAATGCCGCGACTGGTGAACTTCGCAGTAAGCAACTTAAATGTGGCGATTGTGGCCTGGAGGAAACCGTGGCGGGGATGACCGCGGCTGCGATGGATCAGCGGGCGTCCGGAATGCCGATGCGTGATGGAATGTGCCATCACAGGGGGCTCAAGTCGGCGTTGGGTCATCACATGCTGACGATTACCTTCAGTGTTCTGGCGACAATAACATTTTGCCATGCTCGCCAATCTCTAACCGAATCGG